TAGTCTCAACAGTCTTATCTCTTTCCTGGAGGCAACAGGGAATGAGGTAGCTCCGTAATATCACAGAAAGCTTCTTTATCCCTGTATCTCGCAAGCAGTGGAGTGGTGCCCTCGTATAAGGTCCGAGGGGTTTCCAAAAAATCAGCCATGCGGGAAATCTGCACAAGTGGTTCGCCCGAAATTAATGTGCGTATTCTCTAGATATTCCCTTCCATGATATTGAACGTTTTCATAGTTTCTTGTTGAATCGGATAGCGGATGCATTGCTGCACTAACTCCCGAATCGCTAAATCGTCTTCGTCGCTATCATCAGTGTCACTGTGTTCCGCAAATTTCTTCAAAGTGATCATTCGGAGAGTTCCTCCGGGCATCGGGGAAGTTTTAAGGGTTACCTCCGCCACCGTTCTGAGAGTCAATCTCATAGGGATGGCGTTCGGTTTCCCTCCCGTATTCCGTGAGTGTACCATTAATATCCACTTCCATAGCGACACTGTCGCTCACTAGCATCTTGGTCGCAGAAACTTTGTCAGCTGTACTCACACCCTTGCCACTCACACCGCCTTTTCGTCCCGAAGTTTTGGCACTCGCACCAGCGATCGATCCCCATTGCAGTGTCGGGTCAGACTCGACCACGAGTTTCTCCGCTCGGTGAAGCTGGGAATGCTCCAATAGTGGACCCCTGTCGTGTTCGACTCGACCGTGTGACCTTTTGACAGGTGAAACAACGTCGACTGGTCCCGAAGCCTTGCCACTTATACCGGAGATTGATCCCGATCCCACTGTCGGGTTGGACTCGACGGTGAGTTTCTTCGCTTGGTCAAGCCGCGAGCGCTCCAATGCTGGATGAGTGTCGTGTTCGATACGTGACCCTTTGACAAGTGAAACACCGCCGACAGTTGAACTACCCCCGCTTGGTCCCGAAGCCTTGCTAGTTGCACCGGCAATCGATCCCGATCCCACTGTCGAGTTCGACTCGACCGTGAGTTTCTTTGCTTGGTCAAGCCGGGAGCACTCCAATGCTAGGTCACTGTCGTGTTCGACTCGACCGTGGGACCCCTCAACTGTTGAACCACCGCCACTTGGTCCCGAAGCCTTGCCATGTGCACCGCCGCTCGATCCTGATCCCTTGCGCTCTGTTTCTTGAGGCCCCTTAGACATTTCGGGTTTTCGCAGTTCACCAGGACCTTATGCCCTTGCCGCTTGCACCGACGCTTGTTGCCAGACCCTCGGCACATGCACCGGTCCCTTGCCCTTTCCATGTCGATCCCTTTCCATACCCACTGCTGCTTGATCCTGATCTCTTGCCCTCTGTTGCTTGATGCCCCTGAGACATTTCAGTTTTTTGCAGTTCCCCATGACTTTCGTCCTTGCCGCTTGCACCGTCGCTTGGTCCCGGACCCTTGACACTTGGATCGCTCCCCGATCCCGATCCTTTACCATGCGCACCTCCGCTCGATCCGGATCCCTTGCCATGCGCACCTCCGCCGCTAGGTCTTTTCCTCTCCCCTTCTTTGTGCTTAAGATGTTCTTCGACATGCCAATTATATCCATAAGTCGGGCTGGTTTCTCTATCATAGAACTCTTCCACATACTCAAGCCACTGCGATGTTTTGAACTCTTGGAAAATTTCTTCTGTTCTTACATCTAGTCTTGATTGAGAATCCTCCAGATTAAGTCGCAGGAGTCGCTTGGCAATCTGATTATTGGTGTGTTTGAGAAAGTTCGATTCTGACATACGTCTGTGGAGGCAAAACTGTCACTCCGCTTCTTCTTTTATAACCATAACCCATAACCCTCTCGCCAATGCAGGTTGGAAGTGCTGGGGGTGCCATATAATGTGATGACCCCATGTGTCATCATTCGTCACGGGATGATCGTCTCGGCGTACTATAGCCGGAAGCAGTGCAATGTCCGCAGGGATTCTGTCTCCAATCTCGTACTCCAAAGGCGCATCAGATGGAGGTTGTTGTGGAGTTCGAGAGCGTAGAAATTCCATAACAGTACTTGGGCTGTTTGCAAATGGTAACAGACTCACCAACAACTCTGGGGAGAGCATTGCTTGAAGCTTCGGATCCAGAACGCCTCCGGATGGCACCGTCATCGTATTGCCCGCCATCTGAGTAGGTGTAACAATAGAAGAAGTTGGCTGGCGAGTCATTAACGGATCCGTTGAAACCGCCATGGTCGAAGCTCCTCCAGAACCGGACGATGTGCCTGGAACACCCATTCTCTGCGAACTGTGTGTCCGAAATCCGATTCAACGGGGGTTTGGAGTTGAACGGCTCAACTCCCGTTCAACCCCCGTTTCAACTCCGCGTTATACCCCGTTACGACATGGTACAACTCGGCCCGTGGAATTGTTTTTCGCCGTCAAAAAATAACTAAAAAAAAAAATAAAAAAAATAGGGGTGTAGGTTTTTTTCCTCTCTACACCCCCATATTTTTATTTGTATTTTTTTGGCATTTTTTTTTTTTAATCAAAAAAAAAACGAGACTCAAAATACATAGATTTTTTTTTTTTTTT